CCAATATTTATTTTAAATGCATCTTTATTTCAAAAGATTAATTTTAGAAAGCAAGGGAAAGCAACACTACAAGTATTTGCTAACTTTACATTTTCACACATGCAAGACTAAGTATACAACATAATCCCCTGTTAATTTAAAACCATTTGTTCATTTTTACATATTATTAAAAACAGCTAATAAGTTTCATTTCCATGTGAAAGAGTCTGATTTTAAGTAACTTTTGCCAGAAGCAGAAGTTCAAAGCTGTATTAAACACCAGGATATACAAGGCTAACATTATGAGCAGAGAAGTACAGAGAATTAGAACTTTAGAAAAAATGAGCACTGTATACAGTTTAGATAGCCAAAACCAATGCTTTTAATAACATGGATTAACATGGCCAGAGGATACAAAGTGAGTATCCTTAGTAAAGGAAGAAGATATACGTGGCTTCAAGACGTGAAACGGTTTGTAAGGGTTTGAAAGAAATTGTATGGCTGTTCATTTAGATGCCATTAATGATGAATTAACATTTGTGATCTACCTCCATACGGTTCATTGCTTCAACAAAGCATTCTGCTACCTGTTTTGTATGGACATACAGGAGTTTACCTTCCTGAAAACAGCTATAGCTGCTCTCATAGACAGAATGAGAAAAGGAAGGGGAAAAAAAACCACGGTAGGTCCTATGAAACAATGAAGTATTTGTACACCCTTCTGAGTCACCCAGGCAGATTTCCAGACAACCAGGACCCATGTCAGTATAACCAAGTAGCAACATAACAATGAAGTTGAAAAACTCGGCACATATGCAGGGCAACAGGACAAGTAATACCAAGTGCAAAATTTGTCCCTGATGACATGGATTTAATTAGACGAGAATGAAAGGACACATTCTGTATCAATGATCCCTGTGAGCGATATAATAAAGTGCAGCTTTTCTTTTCATTGTCTGTTTTAGCTTTCCTCCCTCTATTTATCTTTTCTATTGCCATTATTGTGCCCTACTCTACTACTTCCCATCTCCCCGATCTTTCCCTCACAGGAAATACTGGCTTCTGGACAGCAGAGAAGCCACCACCAAAGAAGCTACAGTTTGTGTGCACAGCAAGAAGCATACAGCACAGAGCTTATCTGCTGCCCATGAGCCTACACTAGTAGCACAGTCTAGCTACCAGGAAACATCTGTCACTCCTCTTTCATCCTCAAAACCGAGAGGACTGGCAGGGTTTTGCTGAAGAAAAGCCATCTTGCCAACTAGCCAGAAATGCACAGCCAACTCTTATTGGTTTGGTTTCTTCTTCTTTTATATTTCTTGCCTTTTTTTTCCTTTTCCTCTTCTAGCTCCTACTCTCCAAGCTGCCATGAAACTAATACACCAGAACACTCACTAGCTGATCCAAGGAAGACAACAGTTTACAGATCCAGTTCTGTGCTCCTCTATCAGCAGGGAAGGCTTTTGTGCATGAGGTTCTCATTCACCCAGATGGACTGTTGGTATCTCTAAAGGTTAGTAACACAGGAGCTACTCGGCTAAGGACACAACCGGTGTCTGTAACTATCATGCAGTGAATTGTATACAGCAGTGCTGCTCAACAGTTTTTGCTCACCAGGAAAGCTGGTAATGATCACCTCTATTTAACAGCGAAATTTCATTCAATTTCCTGCAGAAGACTGTATTTCACTCGTCAAACTCCAGAAGCACATTTCTTATTGCATGTTACCAATTATATTTTTGTGAATCACATTGTATAAATAATAAAATCCATCAACAATGTACCCAAATAGGCCAGTGTACAATTATGAATGAAATCTTATTTATGGTATTTACCTATATCACTACCAAACTTGTGACTGATTTGTGGTCTAAGCTATTTGATAAAATTTATGGTGACTCCATCAACAAAGCATGGTTATATTTTGTTCGCTTTTAAAGTTATACTTAGAAATGCATGAACGACAAGACCACTTTAAAAAGTCCAAAGCTTTTCACAGCTAATGATAACTCTGTGTTCTCCACCCTTCAGTCGGGAGTTTGAGCTACACTTGAAGCAAATGACATACAGGACAATACACTGCCATAAAAATAAATAGCAAAAGACCAAGGTTTGACAGTTCAGTATTCAGAAATATGCAGAGGATTAGAACAAGCCACATGCGATATTGGTGGGATTATGAAAAAGACTGCCCAGCATTTGAAGAAAAATAGATAGAAAATGATTTCTGCATAATTCAGATGCCATCCTTCTTTCTGCTTGGGAGCAGATTTCATAGTGATAAAAGATGGATAGCATCAGCCAGAAGTATGTTTAATCAAAAAGTAATGGAACTGAAGCTTAAATTAAACTAATATAAATCTACCAAGATGAACAATTTTTTTACCTCCTTTGCATTTGCCAAGATACACGTTCAAGCCATTCACATACTCAATATTAGGAAACAGACAAACATCACAATAGCAAAATTATACATAGATCCATGCACTCACCAATTATACATAGCTATACCTGTAAATATAGCTACTTTTTTAAAAGAAAAACATTATAATGCTAAATAACTGGGGATTAACAGTATCACACATTTTAAAATTACCTAAATCTACAACTAATTCCTATTCTAATGTGAAAAGATTTTTGATAACATAATACCAAGAGACTATAAATTAGAGGTTTATAACCCCGTCATTAAAACTGATACAGAGTTTACCATCATTTTAGCTCCTAACCTTTCCTTGTTCCTAGTACTACTACAAAGCAGCTATTTTAGAATAAATTTCTGATAATCTAACACACCCTAAGTGATATTTTACTTCCCAAGAGTCTTCACAGAAGTAAACATAGTGCAAGACACCACTTACAAAAGTGCACCCATCTGACATTCCATAAAAGCTTTGGAGTTGGTGGGTAGCAAACTGAAATCCAGAGGGTCCTGTGCATATGCATGCATTTCCCCCTGTACCTCCTATAGTTTTCAGGAGAGAATTCATTACATAAAGATACATTTATCTGCTCTCAAGACAGCAACAGCTGTCTGTCTTCGTTAGAAAAACAAAGGGAAGAAAGAAACAATTTTATCCACAAAGATCTTCATTTGGGGCGGGAGGAGCTTAACATCTTGATCACAGAGGTAATTGTTGTAATTCAGTACACAGCCTGTATCAGACTATTAAGGAGGATATTGTGGCATCTAGCTAGTGCGCAGGGAGAAGTTAAGTAGATCTCCGCTGTAGCTCTGCTGTGCACGTGGTTTGCCAGAGTATTCAGCGTCTCAGTTCACTCACTCTATCAGTCCTCAACCATAAAGTGAAAAGAAAGACATCCACTCCACCTATATAAACGAAGGTCACATCTCCGAATGAATTGCACTGTATGTATTATCATTACAGTTGTTTAGGGTCAAAACATCCATTAATGTCACTGAACAAAGCTCCACTGAAGATAAGCAAGTTGATTCTCCATGTTCCCCAACACTCAGTTTCCTTTTAAAATTCTTCAACTGAAAAACAAAAGCCCTAAAGAGAAAAATAGAGATGACCCCAGGGTACAAATAGGAAGAACAGGTTTGCTACCAGTTATGATACCAGCTACTTTCAACAGTCAAGTGCAACACATTCACTTTACATCTTAGGACAAGCACAACTCCTGAACTCCTCTGTTCAGGGGTGACGGACAGTCACACATTTTTACACTATTTACAAAGCTCAGAAGGCGAGGATTAGACTAGACTACACGTAAATTAACACCATAGCTACTTTTTTGAAAGAAAGCAATTACACATACTAACACAACATAAGAAGTTCTTCAGTTGGCCTTTCGGGAAAAAAACGGTTTCAAAGTCACTATGCAAGCTTCTACAAAAAAGGTTTACCTCCTGGCTCCTCACACAATCTTTGCATGATTACTATCAAAAGCTTACCAACACAGAACAAAACTGTACCAGGCACTTAGTCTAAAGTGAAGTTGTTCACATAGTCTTGCACAGAAATAACTGAACGCTAGAGCTGATATACAAAATGAGCTACCCACCAGGTACTTCCATCCAAACAAACTTAACATAGGCAAACCTGAACCCTCCATTTTATCTTGTTTCCTCATCTGTTCCTCCCTCACCCATAGATGCAAATTATTATTCCTATTCTGTAGTCCTTTTTCTCAGACTGCCTTGAAGCCCTCATGTGGGACAGATGCCCACTATGATTGGTGCTATATAATCAAAAAGATTGCCCTTACTCTGATACACCATTCTTTTTGCAATTCAGGTCCTCAGTATGATAACTGTATTTAACCATGCCATCTCATCTTCCATACAGAACCAAGCCACATCCAAAGTATACTATTTACTCCTTTATAATCTACCTCTCCTCTTCTTTTCCATTCCTCCTTCTTACCTTGGCTACAAGTCTCCAGTGTTCATTTGTCCACATTCTTGCCCTTTCCACAGAGCTCTATATCCACACAAAATCCTGAGGCTAGCTTGGAAGGCATTAGCCCAGTTCTTCAAATCAAGACCTAACACCACCAGGACTGCGTGTAAGAAACTGCTTACTATCTGTAACTGGGGACAGCTTTTTATTTTGGAAACAATAAATCTAATTTATTTACATACGAACTAATATCTGAATAAATCAAAACTCCCTCTCTACCTTCAACACATCAGTAAAGAACAAGTTTGAGATCAGAATCAAACCCACAATTTTTACTTCCTATGGAAATCTCAAAATTCTGCTCCCTTTCTGTCCCCTCTGCATGAGAGGTCTATGGCAAGCAGGTATGTTCTCCACCGACACCGTTCTGGCAAGCGCCATCTCTAACACAGCATTTGATACCTACTAAATATATTCCTATCTCATTTCTTGAGATATATAACTGGGTAATGATCCGTTTTCTACGGATGCCTGTAAGATTCCCAGCATTGCCTTAAATTCTCAGTGAG